TGCTTTGCCTTTCTGTAGGCGCCAGTGCTAGCAGTGTCCAAGCATTTTGTTTTTCCCCCCCTTTTCATACCGCGCCCCCCCCTAGGGCATGGGCCCCACACTTTGGGAAGGTCTGCATTAACACATGTCACCAGATATGACAGAAACAACCTGTTTTCAACTTGATCATGTGGAGCCATCCGTGTGCTAATAATGAATGTGTCAGATATCCGTATTCTGCACTAATCTGTTGCACTGTGATAACCTGTTTATATGTCACATCTCTGTCCTTGCAGTTTTAAGCATGTACAGAGTTTCTGACTGTTGTCTACAGTTGCTTTATTATACAACGAACTGGCTTATACTGAGCTTGCTTCCTCTCATATTGCTGTTTAAAAATATGTAAAGTGTTTTTTGTAAATTTTAACAGGAACAGGCAAGGCCCCATATAAACATGAAAACTCTTTTTGATGGCTGTCTACAATAGAGATCAGATCTTCTCCCACATCTGTAGCAGAAGTTCCCACGAACGTGGACCTCGTAGGCTGCTTTGCTTTCCCTCTTCTGTCCAGTTCAAACCAGCTCGATGGGGTTTCAGTCTGGGGGCTGTGCTGGACTCTCCATGTTTTCAAGCTCACCATCTTGTTCTTGTTCCTGAGGTGGTTCTGGCACAGCTTGGACCTCTTTTTGGTGTCATTATCCTGCTGTAGGATGAAGCCCTGACAGACTAGGTGCATACCAGAGGGTGCTGCATGGCGCTGCAGAATGTGGCCATTTTGGCTCAGGGAGCCTCTCACTCTGTACAAGTCACTGAAAACAGCCCCAGACCATCACACTCCCTCCTCCACTTACTACGGCCTCCATTAATCTGTGCTTGAAGCTGTTGTCCTGTGAGCCGCTTATCACGCAAGCTGCTAACTACAGTGTGTCCAACACTGCAGAGGGGGTTGGAACAGCTGTAGGAGTTAGTAGCAGCAGCTTTCATCCGCCCCCATTACTGCAGAACAGCTTTAAACTGTTAACCAACATTGTGTTCCCTGAAAAGGCATTTTTGTATAATTCTGAAATGTACATTATTTTACAGTTTTGGGTAACCTTACCCTTTTTCACCTAGTTCACCACATTTGTACCATTTCAAACTATTCATTGGAAAATATAACTTGGAGAATTGGGCAGTTCTGAAAGTTTTGACCGGTTGTGTATATTCTTTAAAGTTTTCATACAAAAAATCAGGATGGATGACTTTTGCTCCTAAAGTATTTCTTGATGATAATAATGATGATTTTTATAAGTATTGTAACGATTGTTGAGGTTATTTTACTTTGACAGGTTCACAGTCTCTGCACTGTTACTGTTTCTTTAAGAGAAGTGTTTGGGTTGCAGGAAAGGACGAGTGTGTGCGGGAAAGGGAGGGGGCTCTTGTTGTTGTTGGGGAGCGGGGGAGTGAGTTGATTGGTGGTGGTCAGAGGGCCCGGTGGCGCCAGTGTCCGGCAGCCTCGCCTCTGTCAGTGCGCCCCGGGGTGGCTGTGGCTAC